GAGAGAGAGAGAGAGAATTAACTCTCTCGCAATAATGGGAAAAAATATTCACCTCAAATCCGACGGTATCTAGACCCGCCCGAGTCTCCTGACTGCGCGCGATCGGCGAACGATTCGTCCCGGACGTCCCAGAAGTCCTGACGACCGACTTTTGACGGCTAGATGCCTCTTCGAGGGCTCCGATCGAGTCCAGCAGAAGCGGCAGCGGCAGCGGCAGCCGGGCTGGTGAGTCCATCGTCGAGTTCGGTAGGTCCGAAAATGGGTCCGCGGGACGATCGGCAATCCGAGGGCAGGAAACTGCAATTTCGCAAAGTAGGGCCTTAGGTTGGGATCCGTCTTTATTCCGAGGTCAAATTCGCGGCCCGTTTGCGTCGGAGAAGAGGAGGGGTGGGAGGAGAGAGGGAGGACGCCCTCTCTTAGTCCCTCCCCCCCCTGCACGTCTTCTGAAATCCCGTCGGTCGGCCTACGGCAGCTCAGGCTCCGGCAAGCTCTAATTAGATTTTAAGTGAGAAATTGAGCCTGCCGGCAATTTTAAGGAAGCCGAACACACCGCCCTGATTAATATCATTATGCGCTCTTGCTTGTTACACCGTGGGGCCCACGAGATGAAAACCGCGAGTATATAGGCGGCTCCAAAACTCCTTCGTAATTCAACGTAATGTACTGTTGGGCGATGCCGAGTCAAAATTCTCTTTGCAATAAATATTTATTGCTATTAGATTGTGCTCTTTTTACAAAAATAATTGTTTTCCATAAATTTCATAGCTTCGATCTTCTATTAAGATAAATTGATTTTATATTTTATATTTAGATTTTATATTTTGAACAATTAAGAATAGGAAAATGAGAAATTATATTTTCAGCACTGAGAAATGTCAATAAACGTCCACCGTTTTCGTTGCAAAAGCTTGGATGAAATAAATACGATTTTTGGAGCGTGCTATATTGAAATATGCAGCGGGCTTCGCGCGATCGTTGAGATAACCGCGGCTCCTTGTCCGATGCCCGAAGGACGAAAAGCGGAAGAGAAGCAGAGAGCAAGCCGAAGAAAGACTCGCCGAATAACAAACCATGGAGAAAAAGAAGGAAAGCATGCTATTACAAGCACTTATTTTCGGGTGATCTCGCGCACGGTGCCACGGAAGGAACAACTGGCAATTATCACTGTTACGTGCACCGTTTGCATCAAACGGTATCCTTTTTATTTTGTACTTTGACATTGCTCTCCTTCTCTGCCCACGGGCAATGCTAATTTTTGCGTTTTGAGAAAACAAGACCCGTTGTCCGCGATCGTCTCGTCACGTGTTTTCGCGACACGCAAATCGTGCATATCGTGGTACGCGCGATTTCAACGTGCGTTATAAAAGCGCCCGGTACAATCGGTAAAAATTTAAACGGTCATTCGAACGCGCCACGAGAAGCAGCATTTGCCCACAACAGCGAGAGATTACACGCGCTCAACTCGCTAATACATTGTCATTGAAAATATTATTAAAATCATATTGTCCAAGTTCATTATTCATATTATTAAAAATTATAGTCTCGAGCGAATGGCGATACTTTCTCTCTTGGGTTTGCGGAATCACGCGTGCAAATAACGAATTCAGGAGCGACGATTTCTCACCGAAACGACACGTACAAATGCGATGTTAAACATGCGTAACGCGCGTTATTGCTACACATTTGCCTTAATGATTGCCGACTGACTCAACCAATATATGCCGTAACAGATTATATATATTATCTAACCGTTTAAGTAGCGCATAATCATTAGGATTATATTAATTATATTATTACCAAGTGTAATCGCACGGACAATGAATTAGATGAGATTGACCTGAGAGAAATAGAGATAATCAGTTATTGTTTTTGTAATAAAACAGTGAGTCTGTATTATTAGCGCGATTCAGCGGTAGAATATTTTTACATAAATCTTCATCTTCAACGCAATCGACGTGTGCGGTTGCACGGCGCCCCTGTTACCGTTGAATGCCGATGACGCCGTCGTTAGCGCAGGACGATCAAAATCATTAGCCTCGGCAAAGAGCCGTCATTAGCACAGCATTAAACGGTTATTAAGGCGTACACGCGGAAAAATGTGATCTTCCTGGGCGAATAAATCAGAGGAGGAAAAAAAAGCACAGTTTACTATTAATCACGATCCGTCCGATGTCGTTCGTGTCGTTTCTCGTGCGTTGTATCGATTTCTAATTCGGTCCCCTTGTTTATTCATCATTTTGATGGTCGTGCATCGTACGTTTAACGACCAAAGTGTCGTGCCGGGCACACTGTTTGCGAGCCAATGTCGTTTAAATAAATGAATACGCCTGATTTGTAACTTTCGCTTTAAGTAAGTCTCGAAGCTTCCGAAGAGCTTTGTCGTTGCTCACATAACCTTATCGTGCAAACTTTATCAAAGTGAATATCGTATAATGTGAATCATCACCAATGTTACTTAAAAATTCTTTCACGTGTCAGAATATACGTCAGAATTGCCGAATCTCTACAACTCGAGCGTATCGGTCTCAATGATAGATCGAACAGCATTGTACAGATGTTCCTTCGAATAACAGCTACGGCAGTTACGCAAATGCCATTACCGAAGCGTCATGCGTGCCTCCGGTTTATTTCGTAAAAGAAAAGCATAATGAATGGTAGCGCGGTCGAGTAGACTTTACCCTGCAAAGCCGACGTGGCGCGACGACGATCATGTCGTGCTATTCATCAGCCGCGCTCTTTTACCACCGGCATGACGTGCCGTGGCTAATGGCACCTTCAAAGCGCCGGACAACGACGATAATCCCGACGTTCCACTACGTGGACACCCTTCCATCTGTACACGATTTCCCGAAATCTCGTACGGGCGTCACGCGTGTCACCTGTCACACGCGGGCACGCAAGCGCAAAAAAATGTGTTAGCATGCAGGTAGCATAATTTCCGATGACGAGGTTTCGTTTACAACTCGATCCTCTCTCGAATAGGGAATATGAGCCAAGTTTATGGCTTTCAAATAACTTTTTCAACTATTGGTGCAAAAAACATGCTCGAATAATAAAATATTAATATACTTTCTTCTGTTTAAATTCATTTAACAAAATTTTTTTTAAATGTTTTAACAAAGTTGCTAGTCGCTTTGAAAATCAAGTTTCACGAGCTGTTTCGAGTTTTAAACACGTCAATCTTCAATTTCTACCTTTCTCTCTAATTTTCTGTACTTTAATACCAGGTGCGAGATCTCGTGCAGATTACGAGGTAAATAAAGTTGTTAACGCACGAAGCAGCCAGCTGGGTTATAGCCCCTTAAAGTTAATGCGAATAAACTGGCAGTTATAAAATATTACACGTATAGAGAATTTATTACGCAGGAATAATTATATAATTTAACACGTTCAATAGCGCATAAATTTGCGTGACTTGCCGCGCGTGGTCGCGCGAGAAAGAATTAGATATGCATAATTTTCTTATGTTATTGCCGGTAAGCGGTATAATTCACGTGATATTAAATATTAATTGATCCGACATATTAAGATTTAAGAAAACAAACAACAAGTCCCGGATTTAATCGTCACGCAGCGAAATAGTAAATAAACGGCGAAGAATGAAGATGAACGTCGCGTATCAAGTAGTTGGTTCCCCGAACGCGGCTAAAAAATGAGCCGGGAGGTGCCCACTTAGCCGACTTAATTAATGACCGAATCCATCATCGGGACGTTCTCACAATGAGGCAGGAGACCTCCTGCCTCTCTGCGAGCAAAGCCTGCGTGCAACCCTTTTTCTTGACGAGTACCTCTTTTCACGCGTATCGCCGAGTAGACAAAACCGCGACTCGCAACTAGCCAGTCCACCTTTCCGAAGAACGAAGACCTCTTCGCCGTCCTCATTATAACGGTCACATCGGACCGCTTCAGGAGACTGAACTCGATTCCTAAACTGGATTTCGGACAACAACTTTGACGAAACATCTCTAACGAGGATAAAGAGCGCCAGCTCTGACTGACGCACAATCGCGATCTTCCGGTGGGAAATGTTCGCCAGCCATCGATCCCTAACTCTGACGGAAACCGTTCACTAACGATCAGATTGACAGCAAATTAAAAAAAAAAAAATTAGTTGCAAGTCGAAACACGACTCCTCGACAAATCTCAATCGCATTCTATACGGCAAGTGTCTATTTAGATTTAGAATCAGCAGGGTCTACGGACGGAGATGGAAGTGGATCGGTGTCACGTCCAGAGACTATCGCCTTTCGCTATAAAGTCGTCAAAGCGGCGAAAGAGCGCGCGCAGCCGCCGCCGACTTCGTCCAATGATAAATAATACGCTGAAATCTAGCTGGTAGCTGCGACTGAAGCCGCGCCGGGTGATGCGGTGAAACTTCCTCCCCGGGGCCGCGGCAGGGGCGGGAGGAAAAAAAGAAGTCAAAGAGAAGAAGAGAAGTCCAAGACGAGCCTCTGTCCCGGTGTTCTGCGTCGTAGCGACCGGTAACCGGCGACGTTCGGCGAGAGGGAGAATCCTGGAGAACGAGAGCCAGTCTTGCAGAGTCCCGAAGGCTAGAATTCCTAGGGAATCCAAGCAAAACCGGTCCAGTCAGATCCGGAGCACCCGCTGGTCAGTCCGGGCTGCTGACTATCCTCTACCTGATCTTCCTCTTCTTCTCTCTCTCTCTTTTTCCTCTCTCTCTTTCTCTCTCTCTCTCTCTCTCTCTGTCTCGCTCTCGCTCCCTTTTTCTCCGAAGCACCTCGCTTTCTCAACCGCGTATCTTCACCGGCCTCTTTTAAGCACGGCGGACAAGGTGGAGAAAGACCCGAACACGCTCTGCCGCCTGTTGAAAATCGATATTTCGTGCAATTATTCGCACGGTGCGCTAGAGGAAATTTGCCGCAGCCTTCGTCGTCATCGTTACTTCTCTTCCCCCCCCCCCGCCTTTCTCGTCCTCTCTCTCGGAATCGAAAGAGTGAGACAAATTCTCATTGTCGCCGTATAAGCATCGCGCTCTTACGTAACGGAAAAACATTTGCCGAGAGAGAAAGACGATCTTTGTAGTGCACGGGGAGTGTTTCAAAATACCAACGGTATGACAAATGCGGCTCGAACTGACTAGCGCTGAACTCTTCCTTTCACTCCGTCGTCGCCGTCGTCGCCGGCGCGATATATTTTTCGCTCGTGACGTTTCCGCGAGGCTGCATTCTTTTTTCAAACACGTGATAAATTCCGTCCGCACGCTTCATAAATCTCCCAGGTGAGTCAATGGAATTTCATCGCGCAAATATCCGCGTTAACTTGAATCATATTCGATG